CTTATCTAAAGCCTGTTGAGTAGCACTTGAAATGTTTGGCTCTATGAAACCTGATGTACTTATATGATTCTGTTTTCTTCAAGTTTGTATCTTCCTGGTCGAATGCACTTATTGTAAGTCGCTTTGGATAAAAGCGTCAGCTAAATGCAATGTAATGTAATGTAATACTATACGGTCTGTTTCTTTATTGTGTTAAGTGAGAAGTAAAAATATAAATTAAAAAAAGCTGTGCTATGAAAGTTAGCTTTTGCTACCTTTAGATCCATAACAATGCAAGCTAAGTAGGCTAATGGCCCGGACACACCAATCTGACAACAAAGAACTGACACAGACGGACCCCGACTGTTGCGTCGCCTCGCGTCTCTGCGTTTCGGCCATGTGTCGCACTGGAACACACCGCAAAGACTTCAGGCGACCGCCAAGAAGCACGTACGAACTGCGCATGCGTGAGTGGCAATAACTCTCCTTACCAGCAGGCGGCGGTAGTGTGTATTCGTCATTCAAAAGAGGCAACAACCGGAAGACAGACTGCGTGATAACCGACATGTTGAATCGGCGGGTTTTCATCCGAAAAGGCGTCGGCCCGGCTGAAAAGACCCCACCGTGCGGGACCGTGCGGGACACACCTATCTGAGTAGGGTGTGTGGACGCCCACCGACGCCGATAATCGGCCTGGTGTGTCCGTGCCTTAACAGTAGGGACAGTTAGCTACATAGCTAGCAGTGAGTGAGCGTTCAGACACCGGCGCACACACTCAAATGGACTCGTGTGCCTGACTCTACCAACAGGCTTTCATGATTCTGTTTAGATATGCAAGTATAAGCCATGATAGCTTATTTTATTAACACGCTAATTTGATATGAAAATCAATGGAGGCTGAGTTAGTTTGTCGGAAAACCTACCGTTCATGACTGTCCCTGAGCTGTGTTTTATTTGTTAATTTCATATTTTTCATTTCCTCTCATATTAACAGTGTGGATCATTGAGACAGCGTGGTGTCCAGAGGTCTTATCCCGTTTTCCCACTTCCTCTGAGGGGACAGCACGGAGGGGGGGCATGAAGAAAGACTTGCACCATCTTCATCCACGCTAGGCGTTGCTGTTATCACTTGCTCAGTGTCATTTCATTTGACCAAATGTCTTTACATATACTGTACATTTAATAGATTTTATTATTATCCACCTTTTTGTTTTATGTCCTTTTATTTAAAACATTCTTTGAGACTTAATCTTCTGGTTAAAATTTCAATAAATGTAATTTGTATAATCACTCTTTTGTCTTTATTCTACATGAACATGTTAGAGGTTCCATTCAAATGTGTTGATTATTCAGATCTTCCTCAGGAATAGTATGTCGAATTTTTAATGCTAAATGTATATCATTTTCTCACAGGATATAGAATGAGACACAGTTTTTATCCCTTGTGTATGAATGCTTCAGCTCTTCAGACCAACATAGTAAGATGTGAGCATGTTCCTAATTGTGTTGGTATGCAACCTAGGTCTGGTCTGTTTAATAAAGCAAATCTGCCACTTTTATATTGTAGAATTTGTTAAAGCAGTCTTTAATTGTTTGTCCTAAATATAGCAATATATGCTTTTGAAATGTAACATGTCTTTGAAAAATAACAGTATACGGTTTATATTGTGTATCACCTTTAGCTTGAAAATACATAGATGTGTTTTTGTAATCTATAAAATAAATAAATAGACAGACAGACACTTTATCAATCCCAAATTAGGAAATTATTTAACAGCAGCAGTGTGTTCAGGTATTAAAATATTTAAAGTTGGAATAAAATATAAACTACACAACACAAGTATAATGCACAGCAATCCATAAGATAAGTCCGATATTTTCATGAAAACTCCCCAGGAGACACCAACACAAACGTGGCCGAGTGGACTCCGGAGTTTGATGCATGAGTTGTACTGTACTGAGTAGCCAATGGGGACGCACCCCTGAAAGTCCCGCCCACCTGGGACGTTTGTGTCAAAATCGAAAAAAACAAATGAGGGAGCCCAAACGAGAGACCTGCAGCGAGAGCAAAAGTCTGATCATTGAGAAAGAAGCAAAGAGAACTGCTAACAAAGAGATATGTTAAAACCAAGAAAAAATACTTATAGTTTACATGATTACACAAATGATTTGTTTGCAACTTGTAGTTTTATTTTTGAAATTAAATTAATTTTGCTTGACTCGGTTTTTTTTTCTCTTAAACTCTTAGTTTTGCTTGATTCTGAGAAAGTGTTGCTTTATCTTTATGAACCAAAACTAATCCCATATTACACAAGGCTCGCGTCATGTGCTGCATTCACTTGCACTCGGACATTAGAGATTTTCTCTCATAAATGTCCGATGAGTCACAACTTTTCTTTCAAAACAAAGCTGCCAACTGGGGTGGCAGCTGGGATGGCAAGGCCTATTTTTAGGGTGGCAGTTGCCACCCCATGCCAGCCCGGCGGTAGATCCGCCCCTGCAGAGGTGGGAAGTAACTAAGTACATTTACCCAAATACTGTAGCCTACTTAAGTACAATTTTGAGATACTTGTACTTTATTTGAGTATTTCCATTTTATGCTACTTTGCACTTCTACTACACTTACATTCAGAGGTAAATGGTGTATTTTCACTCCACTACATTTATTGAATACCTTTAGTTACTTTACAGATTTGGATTAAAGGTGGGGTAAGTCATTTTGGAGAAACCAGCTCGAGTGCGCTAGAATTTGAAAATACACAACCGGAAAAAATCTGCCACTTCCTTACAGAGCCCCTCCTCCAACACACACGAACGTGCACATGACCAGTGGCGACTGGTCATTAGGGGCAGGTGGGGCACAGCCCCACCTAGTGTCAGCAGAAAGTATTACAAATAATGATTACAAAAATGCAAAAAAATAAATAAAAAAATATATAAAATATATTTTAAGATCATGTTTAATCATCTGATTCGTCTGTACATTGCTGTTTTAGTCTGTGTTCTTCTAATTAGTGTGTCTACAGTCACAGTGTGTGCCTATTGAGCTGTTTAGAGCCATGTGGGACAAAACCTGATTATGCCCCTTCCTCTCGCTGTGAAGTGAACGTGACTGTAAAAACTACACTGCGCATGCTCAGAGTATTTTGTAATGTATTGTGTGTGGCAAAAAAATAATGACCAGAGGGGCACGGAGCTACCATCCCCACCATACGTCATCTCAAATCATTCAGAGCTGATTGGCTGTAAGTACGTGTGCCGCGAAAAGTGTGCTGTGTGAAGAGGAGACGAGAGAGCTGCAGTGGCGCGTCCTAAAACCAGGAAGTAAGCACAAAAAAGCAATGAGATTTCTCCAGAGGATTTTAGAAAATAGCTCAAAATAAGATCTGTGGGAAACGTACCTGTTAGATAAATGCACGTTTTGATTAGCCGGATAACATCCACATGTCTACCCTACTTTTATAATTTTTTTATCATAAATCTATGGATTAGATTTATGATAGACTTTTGAAACTACAAGAAGATAAGGAGGACTTTTACAAAAAAGTAATAGAAATGTTTGTCCAGAAGGATAGGAAAATGGACTTCATCTTCAAGTCAAGGTAAGACCGCCATTTTATTGAAAATGGGATCTTACTAAGAGAGAACAATTCAATATTTAAATGATAAAATTACATTTTTTGGGTATCCTTTTGTTGAACTGTCTGTTTAAAATTAATCGAAGCATCAGACAAAAAAAGCTTTTGAAAATAATATTATATTTTGGTTTAGGTCAAAATATAATATTTGTAAACCTGAAGAGTCAGTGCCAGTGCCTCACCAGCCATGAACCTCACTGCACGTCACTGCAGAAGCTATAGACATCTAAGTTTTTTGTGCCCCACCACTTTTGTACATATAAAAACGCCACTGCACATGACCAATGAGAGCACGAGATAAGTTTGTGCACAGATGGAAGGCTGACAGGCAGGTAGGCCATCCAGTTTTTTAGTCGGGCCGGCTCAGATGATTGGTCATGCTTTTTACAGTACTACGGCTTCCACAGATGACATTTTTGTATGGATTTTTTGTCAAAGCACTTAAGATATTCATTGCTATCGGGATGTTAAGAGCATTCCATTGAATATAACAAAAAGTGTATCTCGAGCCGGTTTCTCAAACTTACCTACCCCACCTTTAATTATGTGAAATATAATCAACACTTAAATCAGACTTTAGTTCCACCTGGAGTAAATTCACAAGCTACCCTGCAGTATAGAAAGTCATTACAACTAGCTGCACCTTTACCAGCTTTGATAACACTTTAATGCATCAATAATTATAAAACATATCATATATATTATTCTGAAATGGACCAATCTGCACAATGACTACTTTTACTTTTGGTACTTTGAGTTTATTTTGATGATAATACTTTTCTACTTTTACTTGAGTAACATTTTGATTGCAGGACTTTTACTTGAGTATTTCTACACTCTGGTATTTCTACTTTTACTGAAGTACAAGATCTGAGTACTTCTCAAACCTCTGCAAAATAGACAGCAGTAAAAGTATAAATACACAAAAGTATAAAAATATAAATATTTGGTATTGACGAGGGTGGACAACCGCACTTCAAACAATCCAAACCCTATCCTATCCCTAAAAGTGAACACTTTCATAACAGATGGTTTACTCCTAACCTTTTACAGAAGTGTAGATATTCAAAGGCAGCATACATAATGACAAATATTTTTAAATGTATATTAAAACTATAACAAAACAACAAAATACAAAATACACAATATTTAAGCATATTAAAAATAAACATTACATTATCTTCACTCATCAGATGGACCCTACATTGATACTAAAAAATATGCTGCTGTTCCCCATTATTTTACCAGTGTAAAAACATAAATATAGCTTTTAGATACAAATAAAGCTGTAAATGTGCACCCTTCCTTCCAGACTTTATTAGGATGTTTTAAAAACCACCAACATCTACTGTTATTAAAATGTTTATTATAGTTTAGACTCACCTTCCTTCCAGACGGTTCGTGCATCGGTGAAGAAATTGACGCTGTTTTGAATAATAAAATGCTTGCTTGTCCCCTTTGCTAAGCATTTTCTAAATGTTTTGAATTCCTTTTTCTTTTGGTCATCGCAGTCACTGGCTAAATAGAATCAGATAAGAAGTAAAAAATTGCCATATTATTACACAATTTCTTTTACACATTATAATAATTATAACAGAATAGAGGATTATGTCTTCTATTTTCATGATTAAATATGTCAAGAGAATATTTCAATGTGATATTTGCTGGACTTTAGTGTTAGGAAATCATGTCAACTTACAAACAGGATGAATCCACAGCAGGCCCGCAAATAAAACGCAAATCTTCCAGCTCATGATCTTTCAATGGCACTAAGTCTCGATCAGGGTGCGGGATCCATTCACTGCTACACAGGACTTATAACAAGTATTGTTCCAAATTAAAGCACTGTTTCTCCAACAAGACAAATCTACTTTAACTCCTACCTCTCTCTGGTTGAGTCCGGTCAAAGCAGCATCATTTACCAAAAGCAACTGTACCGGATAGCCACACTAATATGTTGTATGACTGACTTTGCATAACTACCTGCTGCAGGCACAATCATTTTGTTTTGCAAATTCACAGTACCTAAAAATGCCTTCGTGCAGAAATAAGCAAAATATCCTGATGTTTAGATAAAATCTAGGCACTATGTAAATTAATTCAAGGAATGAATAGTGGTGTTGATGTACAGTAGTGTGTGTGACAAACACTAGTATCTGCTTTAAAATAAATTAAATATTAAAAAACCTTACACAAAAACATTCGATAGAAAAAGATTGTATCATTTTTGTAATGTTTTTTCAAATCAGCTAAATTGTAAATATTCAAGTTGTGTGTTTTATTAATTTACTGGGCTTGGAGTGTTAAATGTATATTTTAAAGCTGCAAAGAAACACGTATCTAGATATCTAAAATAAAGTACAAGTACCTACATTTTCTACTTATGCACAGCACTTGAGTAAATGAGCTAAGTTTCCTTACTACTGCATGTAATACGTTAAGAGGTGGGAGAAGTACTTAGATGTGGTACTTCATTAAAAGTAGAAGTACAAGTCCTGCATTCAAAATGTTACTCAGGTAAAAGTACAAAAGTATTAGCATCAAAGTATATTTAAAGTAATAATAATATATATGATATGTTTTGATTATAATTATTGATCATTAAAGTGTTATCAAAGCTGGTAAAGGTGCAGCTAGTTTTAATGACTTTGTATACTGCAGGGTAGATTGTGAATTTACTCCAGGTGTAACTAAAGTCTGATTTAAGTGTTGTTTGTATTTCACATCATTAATCCACATCTGTAAAGTAACCAAAGGTACAAAATACATGTAGTGGAGTAAAAGTACACCATTTGCCCCTGAATTGTAGTGGAGTAGAAATACAAAGTAGCATAGGCCTACAATTAAATACTCAAGTAAAGTACAAGTATCTCAAAATTGTACTCAAGTACAGTACTTTGTACTTAGTTACTTTCCATCTCTGAATACGTTACTTCCTAAACCTGTTTATGTATTTAAAATACTTATTTTTCTTCCAATCTTCTGCGCTACTCCTCAGTCCAGTAAGTGGCGGTAATGCACCAGATCGTTGCTTAGTAACCGCCATGAACCTGAGAGAAGAAGAAGAAGAAGGAAAAGATGGCGGAAGTATACACAACAGTCACCCTGCTGCAGAAAGCATGACTACATGACATTGATATTCAGTGAGTAAACAGCAAAATTACAGAACATACAGTTATTAATTGCGAGAATGTAATGCCCTGCGAGATTTGCGCTTATCTTTATTCAACCATGTGTTCCTGTATTAGTGTTTTAACCGCTTGTGTATAATTAGAGAACAAGGTAATATTTCTCAATGACACCACTTACCACCAAGAGTGTATTAATTGAAAGTTCATGTTCCTATTGTTAGGTCTTAACTAAACTCAGCCTATATTACTTTAACAACTCCCTCTGTCAACTACAGCCTCCCATGTTAACTCTTAGAAGTTAATGTTGACATTTTAATTCCACACCAGTTCAACACATGCATTTACTGCAAGGCATTTTGTAAATAATTAAGGTTTACTGACTTACTAGTGAACTTTACACTTAACAAGCTTGTAAAATCGGTTGGAGTAGTCAATACTGTGTTTTACCTGCAGACGCTGTCGAACCAACTTCTTTGAAAGACAAATAAAAGATTAAAACTTCCTTTAAATAAGTATTGAAGTAAATGCCGAATACCACAATGGACCCAGACGGATTGAGAAATGGCTCATTTGTGATGTGTGTGGTGTGAATAGTGACGGATATGAAAGCAAAACGTTCATTTGTTGTTTTTTTAAATGAGGGCTGGCCTAGTGGATACTTATTAAACTGGACATTGAATTTCCCAACTTGATGTACTGACTTTGGACATGCATTGTGTACAAGTCTCACACAAGATGTTATTCATGATGCAGAGAAGACATTTAACATAACACCCATTTAATATTGAATGATTAACCCAATTTGCCACCAGGATCAAATATTCAGATTTTGATTGTGACTAAATAAACATTGTATTATTAAGGTGTCATTCACCCAAATGTGCCCAGCCCACATGCACTTTTTTTTTTCAAGATATTACTCACATTTCCTACAGAGGCAAGAGAAACGCAAGATAAGTAAGGCAATAAATGCTTTTTTCTGTATGTGTCAAGGCCAGTATATCAGATATAACAGTAACAAATAAAAAACGTATACATTGATGAAGAGCATAAAGAAAAAAACGCACCATGCTTATTGCCTTGTTTGTAAATATGCACTTAAAACGGCAGTCATTTTGTTTGTCTGTCAGTTTGCAGGAAAATGAACTGACATTGTGGTAGAAGAGAGGGATTTTTTTCTCAACTATGAATCACATGTCAAATAATAATAATAATACACTCTCTTTTTTAACCTAGGAAATGTCTGCAGGTTGTGTGAGGTGGATGCTGAGCCGCACAGTGAAAGCTGTGTGTGTTGGCAGCCATGGATACTGGACACCAGCGTCAAGATTCACCATCCGCAGTGAGAGATCTAACCTCATTGCTTCCTCCTGGCGAGGGTCTCCATTCTGCTCTGCTGTAGACGACACAGAAAAACCTCCCACGCCAAAGAAGAAGAAGCCTGGTCCTCGAGCTCACGGCACAATCGGCTCCGTCGGCCATGACATCCCGCACCGTGAGATTCTGCTGATAAGTGAGACGGGCGAGAACTTGGGCACCATGCACCGCGGGAGTGTGATCAGACTCATGGACAAGAACGGTCTCAAATTAGTGCTGCTCAGTGAGCACCAAGATCCTCCCGTGTACCGGCTGATGAGCGGCAAACAGATCCACGAAGAGCAGCTGAAACAACAGGAGAAGCAGAAAGCAAAAGGTATGAAGTGTGTGGAATAGACCCAAATTAGACATTTATATAAAACTGTGATTTCCAACCTGAGGGTGAGGAAACAATCCAAAGGGCTGACACAATTTGGTTAACAGGTTAGAAAGAAACCTATTTCTGCTGCAGTAAACTATATTTCTCACATTTTGCGGTAAAATCCTTTTTTGTCCTACAAACCAGAGCTGAACCATAGTTGTATTTGAAAACGTACATTTATTTAAATGTCTATAGCAGGGAAAACATCAACATAAAGTATCTATTTGTGATTATTTTGACTGATAATTCTTATATGATTTTTGCGATATTAGAGGGAATCATCACTTTTAAATCATTACATTTATCTTAATTATAAATTATATTAAAATTAGGGCTGTCAGTCGATTAAAATATTTAATCGCATGATGTCCATAGTTAATCGCGATTAATCGCACATTTTTTATCTGTTCTAAATGTACCTTAGAGGAATATTTTTCAAGTTTTTAATACTCTTATCAACATATCAAAGTCAAAGTCAGCTTTATTGTCAATAATTCTACATGTTGTACATCCAGAAATATCGAGATATCGTTTCCCGCAGTCCTACAGTGTGACATATATACATAAAACAAAAAACAAAAAAGGGCCTAGATAAACATGGTATACATTAAACAAAACAAAGGGCCTAGATAACCAGGGTATACAGTTTAAAATGTTAATAATATAATTTAAGTGTTCAAAGTACAGTTTCAGTGCAGTCCAGTAGCATGGGAGATGGGCAGAAAAGTGAGTTAGGGGGTTAGAGTCCAGGACCATTTGGGGCAGGGGAGAAAGGTCGGAGGCAGGGTGGAGAGTGGACAAATATGCTTTATGCAAATGTTTGTTTATTATCATTTGAACAATGACAAATATTCTCCTGAATATTCTCAACACAACAACCTGGAACCTCTCTCTCTCTCTTACACTCTCTCCCAACCCTGTCTACTTCTTTGCACTGAGCCAGTTGCTCAAACAGACAAGCCTGTTTACAGTTGTCGGCGAAATGCCGCTCCTCTGTCTTCATAACAGTCAAAGCATGAGACTGAAGTTCCCACTGTGGGTCAAAATAATGCGGTGTGATGTGCAGTCGACACGTTGGATGCGATCCGAATGATCTAACGCAGCCCCTCGTCTATGGGCTCAGAACAGTCTCATAATACACACATGCACACAGAAGGATTCACACTTGTATTTCCGGATCCACACTTGTGTTTTTCAATGCACACACAAATGTGTTCTGTTTCATATACATGTAAATAAAATCCAAATACAGAAAAAAGTTTTACATATGTATTTTTGATCCTCACATATTTGTTTTCCGTTTAAAACCGCTGCACCTGCAAACACAAACCGCTTTCTGTGCATGGATCGCTCTGCATTCGTGTGTGGGTTTTTTGAGACTCCCCTGACGGTCACCCGATTCGTACTTGTAATTTTTTCCATCTATAGCCAATCAGATGTCTCCTCAATTCTAAGCCAATCACATGAGCGCGCCCCCACGAGGGTATGATTTCTTGCGTTCATGACGTATCGCTTCATGTACGGCTCGAGAAGCTGACTCGGATGAATGAGGCGAGTAAACACAGCTGACAGCCGGCGTGAAACTCGAGCGATTATTCGCATCGCGTCCGGTGTGAACGCACCATTATTACAAGTATTGTATAATTACAAAATAAAATCGCCACTCTCAGTACAGCGCCACTTTCTGAACAGGTAATGCACGCAAATACAATATTTTATATTATTATTTATATAAATAAAAACATCTTATATTTTAGTTACACCCGCTATTGATTAATTTTTGTTAACATTGGACCTTGATACCGTCCACATAGCTATAGTGAAATAATATAATCAAAAACATTAAGCCTCTTTGATTTAATAATCGGAGCTGAAACCTCTCTGCCATCTCATATAACACACACTTCCTTTCTTATCTTTGAATAATAATACCGTAAAAATAAAGACGACTATACTACGGTCCTTCGGTCCTGAGATTAGCGCCTGCAGGCTCCATGGACCTGTCAGCTCCGGACAGCGCAAAATGCGTATATGAAGTGTCATGAACGCAAGAAATCATACCCTCGTGGGGGCGCGCTCATGTGATTGGCTTAGAATGAAGGAGACATCTGATTGGCTATAGATAGAAAACATTACAAATACGAATCGGGTGACCGTCAGGGGAGTCTCAAAAAACCCACACACGAATGCACAGCGATCCGTGCACAGAAAGCGGTTTGTGTTTGTAGGTGCAGAGGTTTTAAACGGAAACAACTAACAACAACAACAACAACAACAACAACAACAACGTCAAGCCTTTGGGCTCTGAAACTACGGGGCGGGCAGAGGACAAATACACATGCGTTAATCGCACGTTAAAATAATTAGTGGGGTTAAAAATAAATTGCGTTAACGTGTTATTAACTTGACAGCCCTAATTAAAATAATGAAACATTTTGGAGGATCTGTTCCAAAGAAGTTTTATTAAGTCTGTAGAATACGATGTGTGCACCAGCACATTTCTGCAGCACGTTGATATTTATTTCAAATGGTATTTTGACACATATTTAACCTTTGAAAACTATTTTGTGTTTTGTGATTTAGTAGTCACATCGCAATTCCGATCACGTTTTATTTTTAATTCCCTAGCTGAGGCTTTACTTAATCTCCTCATCTCTGTTGTTGTGTTTAATATATGCAGACACTTCTTCAGTTCCTTTGGCTATAACCTAATTAGTTTCAGCATGTCAAACACATCATAATAAACAGGACTGACTGTGTTGTCTCCTCAGCCCCCGTGCAGGTGAAAGAGATCAGCTTCTTCTCTTCCATCTCCTCTCATGACATCTCCACTAAGATGAATCGGGTGGAGAGCTGGCTGGAGAAGAAGAAACACGTTAAAATAACTATGAAAGCAGGACGGAGGGGACCTTCAGACAACCTGGTGAGGAAAACACACTTGTTTTTTCTGAGAATTGCAACAAAAATATTCAGCAAATATCTGTTCTTAACCTTTACATGACCTCGCTTGCCTCCATGATCAGTTCAGCTCAAAACTCTCAACCCCTTCTCTCAATTATAATTTCATAGCCACACATTGGGCATGTATTCCCAAGAATATATCCTAACACACACACTGTTCTATTTTACACAGGACATAACTCTGCAGGAGATGGTGGAACGAATGGAGAAGACGGTGGGTTATGTTTCTAAGCCGGCACTCATACAAGACGGCCAAGCAGCCATGTGCATCCTGAGGCCGCCTTCAGCAAAGGACCTGTTAAATAAGAAGAAGAAGACTGCAGCAGAGGTGGTGCCGCCTGGAGACAAAAGCACGACAACCAGCGAGAGCGAAGCATCTGCTGTTAGCAGCACGGACACAACAGAAGGGTCTTTACAGCAGTGATGTGACGGAAATAAAACATTCTCATGAAAACTCACAGTTTGGTGTGAATTGCTTCATCAGGAAGTGCTTGTGTTGTGTAGAGGTTTTACTAAGCTTGGTGTAAAATAATGATGCATCCACGCTCTATTATCCATTCTCTAGTCTTGTTGTGGTCATTTAACATCTTGCCAAGGACAACAGTTGAAAATTAGCCTGCTGGCCAATACTGGCTCATTTACAGCAATGTGGATTAATGTGCACTGTCCTTTAAATAAACAAACAAACAAACAAACAAACGCAAAGCTAAACAGCTACAAATGTTGAGTTTTTAAAGAATGGTGCCCCATGTACTTGAAAATATGACATAAAGACTACCTTTATTTGATAAGTGCAGGTCAATTTTTACAGGCACATTCTGAAAAATACACACAAAAATGTCCTGTCGTTATCCCATATAAAAATAAATGGTAAGAAATGAACTGCTTAATTATATACTGTGCTGGTTAGTTAGACATTCAATGATCTGATTCACATGTCTTTAAAGAATCTTACCTCTAAGAGTAGTCCTGTTGCATAAAACCATTTACTCTTGGTCAAGTATATTTTGGATAATATACTTACACACACAACTGATCGTCCGACAGCCAGATAAGATAGCATATATACTAGGGCTGTGCAATTAATCGTATTTTAATCGCAATTACGATTTTGGCCTGCCACAATTACGAAAACAACATAATCGAAAAAAACAATTATTTTGCTTTGCTAGGTTGTGACAGTGCACTGCAACATATTTTATCTAATTCATTTTGGTCTCATTTATTTGTATTTATCATATTTATTATGTTTAGTAGCTTGTGGAAGTGCGCTCCAAAATATTTGTTGATCTTGTTTATTGGTATTTATTATTTTGATATTATTTATTTAAATGTATAATTTATTTTATTTATTTTAGTATTGGTTTTTCAGTTGAATTATACGTTCAGGGTAATCAACAGTTAAAAAGATACTGTTCAAATTATTATTTGTATTTGTTTTAAAGTCAATGAATAATCGTATTTAATAATCGTGATATCAATTATTGACCCAAATAATCGTGATTATGATTTTTGCCATAATCGCACAGCCCTAATATATACAGACACACACACACACACACACACACACACACACACACACACACACACACACACACACACACGATGCAGGCTATGTCAAAGCCTAATCTATGAATTTCAATCTGGCTTTAGAACATCCCACTCCACTGACACATGCCTTCTTTATCTGAACGACCACATCAAACAAGAGGTGGACGAGGGTAAATACTGCGGCATGGTGATGCTGGACCTACAAAAGGCTTTCGACACTGTCAATCACCCCATTCTGATTGACAAGCTAAAAGCAATTGGTTTTGATAAACTATCGGTGAGCTGGATGCAATCCTACCTGGAGGGGAGAGAACAGATGGTGGAGGTAAACGGTACTCTGTCCCCCCCCCCTCCCAGTGAGCTGTGGTGTTCCACAAGGAAGCATATTAGGTCCGTTACTGTTCCTAATTTATGCAAATGACATGTCATCAGCATGTGACTGCAACTTGTTCCTGTTCGCGGACGACTCAGCCCTGCTGGTCTCTGACAGGAGCAGATTGCAGGTTGAAAAAACACTCAGCTCCGAGCTCGGCAGAATCTGCACCTGGCTCGCCGATAATAAATTATCATTACACCTGGGTAAAACAGAGTCCATTCTCTTCGGTTCGAAACATAATCTCAGCAAATCCGACGACTTCTCAGTTGCAGTGGGTGACATTATTGTCACTAGTAAGAAGGAAATTACATACCTAGGATCTATTCTTGAGGCAAACCTCTCCTGTGACAAAATGGCATCCAATGTAATAAAAAAGGTCAATCAAAGAACTAGATTCCTATACCGGATCTCCTCTCTGGTAAACAAAAACACCCTGAAAACTCTGGCAGGAGCACTCATTCAAGGGTACTATGACTATGCTTGCATGTCATGGTACCATAGCACCTCCAAGGCGCTAAAAATAAAACTTCAAACATCGCAAAATAAACTGGTCAGACTACTGCTTGACCTTCCATCTAGAACCCACCTAACCTCTGCCCACTTTGACAACCTAGGATGGCTTAGAGTAGATGACAGAGTACAGCTACTTGCAATGGGCCTGGTCTACAAGATCCACTACACCTCTATGGTACCCATGTACATGTCAAAATTATTCCCAAAGGTCAAGGAATACCATGATCATAACACCAGAGGGAGCTCTACAAATCATGTAAAACCCAGATTTGGCACAAAAAAGGGGGAATACACGTTTCGGAATTATGCCACATCAAGGTGGAACGCTCTTCCCACAACTGTAAAGGAAAGTAAAACTATACTTACCTTCAAAACCTCTCTTAAAGAGCACCTTCGGGGGAGAGCAAAACTGGCCCCGGTAATGGTACAAATCTCAACCTGTCGTACAATGGACAGCTTCCCCCCCCCATCTATGTATATACTCGCATTTTAGACTCTGTTACTAACTGTATATCTGTAGACTTGGTATGTCTTAAATGTCCGGTTAGGATGTATTAGAACGAAATCTAAAATGAAAATTGTAAATAAGCCATCTGTATGTAAAAAACCAACTGTATGTACATTGTAAATAAGCCATCTGTATGTCAAATATGTCTTATATGTCTTAAATTATATGATGAATTGGAAATGGGGGACCCTGATGTAAACAAGACGAAAGTCTTTCTCTGGTCTGCATCCCCTTAACAATTGTATGTTTTGAGCTGTACTGTACTGTACCCAATATACAAGCTGTTAATAAACTTTTCAATCAATCAATCAATCAATTTCCTTTGAGAATTCAGTAATTGACTGTTTTGTCTGAAGAGATTAACCAGAACATCTTTGGTCTGAACTTAATGTTGATGAGATCATTTCCATCTATTGTCGTGCCTTATTACTTGAGTACCCCTTTTGTTTATTCTACCCATCACCAATATACTGTGAAGCAGCGGTTCCCAACCTGTAAACCGCTGCCCCCTAGTGGGCCATGAAGGCATTGCAAGTGGGCTGCCAAATAATGTGCAAAACATGATTTGTGTGGAAACATTTCATTATTAAGATTTGTTTTTATTTGAACCTCTTTCCTTTCTCTTTCTTGATCCTCCTTAGCAACGCTCATTACAGTCCTTGACAGCGGTCTGTACTACTGGATTAACAACGTGTCACATGTTCTGAATTGACATCAGAATTTATATTAGATGAAAGCTACTGCATTCGTTAGGTTTCTCTTGGCATTTATTCCGCTTTTTCGTTTGTTTTGAATATGGGAGTAGAGTCCACACATTTGACAATGAACAGAAATGTGTACCTGAAATATAATGAGTACACAGATTCTTTAACCACACAGACTGATGAATCTAAAGGTCTGTAATTAAAGGTAGGGTAGGGTAAGAATGGAGAAACCAGCTCGAGTGCGCTAGAATTTGAAAGTAGCCTACACAACCGGAAGAAATCTGCCCCTTCCTTCAGACTTCCTTACAGAGCCCCTCCTCCAACACACACGAACGCGCACATGACCAATGAGGGCACGAGATAAGTTTGTGCACAGATGGAAGGCTGACAGGCAGGTAAGCCATCCAGTTATTTTAGCCGGCTAAAATGATTGGTCGTGCTTTTTACAGCGCTACGGCTTCCACAGAGGAATTTTTTTTATGTATTTATTCTCAAAGCATTTAATGTATTCATTGCTATCGGGATGTTAAGAGCATTCCATGGAATATAACAAAAAGTGTTTCTGAAGTGAATTACCTACCTCACCTTTAACAGTGTATCAGTACAGGAGATGTGGATTGTCTTGATTTTTGATCTATTTGTGACCATTTTAGACCAGCTAACGGATGAAGATGAAGGTAGTAGAAGTTAATCAGAGTGAAGAATTTATAGATCATATGGATCATTCATAATTAATGTCAAACAAGCGTGGAGAAGGTGAAATGAAGACACCAAACAAACACCAATTTATCTTTCTTTGCTTTATTCAAGATTCATCTTTATATTTTGGTAAAAAATAAAAATAAAAGCAAATTTTGGCATACAGATACATTCACTTGTCACTGATGTGTGTCGCACTTTATCAACACTTTTCTCTAACAGCAGAGATATACTGTCCTGGAACTTCTTTTTTTTTAAACTGTATACTTTTTTCTATACATAAAAAAACATTAAACAGAGAACTTGATCACAAAATCACCTTAAGGCCCAAAAAAATAAAATCTTTCCTAGATTGTGTTAGAAAAAAATTGAGAACAAAAGCAGTTTAACTAGCCTGCATGAAGAGCGTTTGTCAATAAGCCTCGAGAACTTTGTAGGAGGAGAACGGTTTTACAAAGTGATAGTCCAGGTTGCCGCAGTGAGGGCACTGCTGGACGTTGCTGTACTCGGAGAAATACTGCATCCCCACTCGAACGTCCACCACCGGCTTCCCGCAGTGCTTACAGTTTAGACGAGCCTGAGAAGGAGGACGCAGGTTAATGAACAGGTCAAGAAATAAGAACGTTAAAAGAATTGAGCGTGGAAGTTTTGAAGGGGGGACAAAATGATCATCTCATAGCTAACTCAATAACTTTCAATGAGCTTTCAACTGCATTTCCTAGTGATCATTTTCCAACTTTAGATCCATTGGTTCAAGCCAAAGGGAGTTTGAAGAAGAAACAGAGAAGGTTTTTCGCAGTCTTCTGTGTCTATGGTTGAAGTTTTTTTATGGAGGGTGGCCGGTTCGAGTCCACAGACATTACATCTGGCTTTTAAATGTATAAAAAGCCACTAACAATAAGTGCAATTACCTCCTAGACGATACACATTCAGAACATTTAGTTTGAAGTCATATTTCTGGCCACCTGATGCTTGTGATTCTCAAATCTAGTCGGTACTAATTTTCTGAAGGAATGCATGGTTCTGTAGCTACTGAACATGCATGTATTATTTATTTAACATCACTTCAGGGTGTTTTATTTAAATTGTAGGTTTGTATTGCTT